ACACAAATTTACATGTAACTCTTTTGATGTAAGCGCTGCTGCCCTTTTTGCACTGATAACAGATTATTTAGATTGCACTTTTTACATGGTCTCATAAAAGCAATTTTTGTAGTTATGAATGAATTATTGGTCACGTGTGACTAAATATAACAACGTAGTTTTGTCACAAAATCATTATATTAGGACATTAAAAATTGTTGTATTATTTATTTATGAACGGTAAGGCACTGTATGGAGGGGACGAAAGCCTTTGTGAAGGACTTCCTGAAGTTAAACTGGCTTGTATTTTCATTACACTTTAAAGAAAAGCCCTTGAAAGCATCCATAAAGCCAATTTGTTTGCAAGGATCTGAAGCTAAGTTGAACTACTTGTGATCAGCGACTTTTTTCACTTCGTTACTAGAGGGAATGGGGCCTGAACAGAATTTCAAGGAACAATTGCTGAGAAGGAACATTTCAAGGAACAATTCTACGAAGAAAACTTCTTAAATTAAAAAAGACATGCGCAGTACTACAAAATAAAAATATGCAAGCATCAGCACAAATTCACAATAATGCGTAAACTTAATAGATATATATTCAGATTTATAATAATGCATACACAAAATTTCTCATTTACATTACAGAGTTTAAATATCTCAACTTATCAATCAGTAATAGAAAGATTAAATTTCAAAAATAAAGATCTTATGTTTTGCTGCTGGAAACCTATTGCATGCGAGGACATGTGGATAATGTGTTTTGTTTTGCGCTGGCTATGCATTATTTTTAAATGGGTCAAACAAGTTGTTAAATTTGAAGGATAAATTCAAGTTAAGTTTCGCTGAATGGCAATACTCTGAAAATTCTGTACGCGAGGAAGCTTGTGGATGTGATGAATTAAATTATCGTGTTTGGGCAATGACGTCACTTCCCAAAGGCTGTCTCCCTATTCATTCCTTATTCAGCTCTGCCAGGGCAGGATTTTACGTGAAAAAGTAAATCTTCTTCAAAGTGTAATAAATATAATACTTAACAATATGTATGGTAAAAATTCAGCAATTTACAACGTCTAGAATGTTAATTATACTCCTTCTGCATTTCAACCATTTCATCTAAAAGAATACTTAATAACACAGGTAATGGCAATATGATTGCGAATTTACAAGGTAACCAAAAACGTTCTTGCCGTTTCTGATATGACATTGGAAGAGTGAATCTCTACATGAAAATAGTAGCCAAATCTGGCGATGAAGTGGTCCGCATGAAGTGGTCAGGATGGACATTGACCAAGAGTATAAAAGCACGTTGCATCAGTACTTCAAAATATAACTCACACAGCGAACTGATTGAAATGGCTCGTCAAAGACGCTCGTTCAGAGTTGTTTGCTGTATGATTTTAAGTGCGCCTGTCAGCAGCAGAATCAAGTCGCCGAATTTTCCAGCCCTTTGGGGATGATGCCTTTAAGGAACGAACTGCTAGGCAATGGTTCCAGAAATTCAGGTCAGGGGATATCGCTTAGTGATGCACCACACAGCAGTCGGCCACAAGCGCTGGGCGATGAGACCCTGAGAGCAGCCATAGAGAGTGACAGTAGCCAAACATGTGGCGATTTTTCTTCACACTTCCAGGTATCTGATGAAATGATCAAACTCCATTTCCACAGCATAGGAAAGGCATACAAGCAGAATAAGTGGGTACTCCACTCACTGTCCGATGCGAACAAGCAACAGCGTGTCGCTGCCTGTTCGTCATTGCTTACTCGGCACCGCAATGCATCCGTATTTCTTTAAGTACTCACCAGTAATGAAAAGTGGGTCCAGTATGACACACCCAGGCGTTCCAGATATTGGTTGTCACCACGGGACCCTGTGCTTCACACTGCGAGACCTTCTTTCCACTCACGCAAGATCATGCTCTATATCTTGTGGCCTAGTCGCCAAGTTGTGCACTATGAGTCCTGTCAGTGGGCTATACCATCACGGCAGGTCTGTTCTCGCAGCATTTGGGACGTGGGCATCAGCCACTGATGCATAAACAGTCAGCATTGGTTAATCGTAAGGGTGTACTTCTCCTTGACAATGCAAGGCCTCATGTGGCTTGGGAGGCCAGGGACAGCATTAAGCGACTGGGCTGGGAGACACTACCCCATCCAGCATATTCCCCAGGCTTCACACCAACAGGCTACCACCTTTTCCATTCCTTGGACAACAATCTTCGTGGGTATCGTTTAACAACCGGCCAGACCTCCAAAAAGCCCTCACAGACTTTTTTGCGTCCAAGACTCCTGAGTTTTAGCACGATGGCATCGCACAGCTAGCCACTCGTTGGCCAATGGCACTGGATGCCGATGGTGGTTACTTTGAGGATTAGCGATGATTATTATTTGTATTATGTCTTTTTCTTTCTGACTGTTCAAAACTGCAAGAACGTTTTTGGTTATCTGGTATATGCATGTCTCATAACCAATGTCTATTATTATTGTTCAGTATCTTTATGTTTTAGTATAGCATACTTCATCAGAAAAGCCTCTTTATTTCAAGGAGTATTGGTTCTGCCTTAAGTTCAGCGTTTCATCCATCCGATATATATATTATACACGAAACATCAACTTCTTCAAGATCTGCTATGATAAGTCTGTTTGAATTAATTTAAATTATATCCCTATCTGAATTATTATTCCAATTATATGGATGAAAAGAACTTAATTAATAGGATTTTATTATTTGAGGTATGAAATAAGTAACATTCACTAATAGCAAGGATTAATACGTATAAAATGAAGGTCCCCCAAATAATTTTTAAAAAATCATTTTTAAACTGTATTTTTGTTTTATTTAAATCCGATTTTTAATTTGAATTTAATTATTGTTTTTAATTTTTGTTTTCTTCGAGACTTATAGTTTACGTCAATACCTCTAATTAGAGCTTCAGCTTTTTAATGACTTGTAGAGTCATTAGGTTATATTGATGCTGGAACGGGAAAAATGTGCATCGCCGGATTTCGAACGCCGGATCTCCCGAATTCTTCTCGAGTGTGCTTTCTTGAAGGCATGCGGAAAGGAGGGAGAAAATACCTTAGAGTATTAACAAATAATTAAAACTAGTTATTCCCATAAGTTAAGTGAACAATATATTAATTAGATACTCAGCCTTTTCTAACAATTAAAATTGAAAATCGTTACGAAATGAGTTACGGAGGCATTAAAATAGGAAAAATTATCTGAAGATCCGTGGCCTATCAGTTCATTACGCTTTATTATAATTTTTAGTTTAAATATCAAACGTATTTAATTAAAGATGGGAATGTTCGTTTACCTACTTAAAGAAATCTTGACATTTTTTTCAAGTTTTAACTTCCTGTTAGTGTGCATTAGACTAAATTTGGAAAATATTCCTAATACCAGCAGATGTTGTATTAGCTGCGAATTACAATTTCAGTAGCACTTTCAGTGAAAACTATTGGAATTCCTGACTATAACGATTATCCAGTTTTCATAGTGATCAACATGGGACCAAAATAACGGATGCTAAGTGTAGCAGCCATTATTGGCATGTGTAATGTATTTGTGAGGTTTGAGGCTCTCCATCGCCAACAGAGTTTCCATTTAGTATTTACTAAATATTTTCATTCGGAAAGATAACTTCAGTCTTTGGAAAGTACTTGAAGATAATTAATGAATCTCAAATTTTATGGAACAAGTCCTTATCTTGGGGTTACCCCCACGAATTCCCTCTCAAAGATCCCACACATTCTTTGATGGCAAGTAGAAGAAGCTGTTACTTGACATACCATTAAAATACAAATTTACATGTAACTCTTTTGCTATAAAGTGCTGCTGCCCATCGCCGGGTGAGTTTACTGGTATAAGAATTGTTCAAACATTTTTACTTTTGTGCTCTATTTCGCTGCGATATACTAATTAGGTATTTTTAGTGCATATAACCAAGGAGTTTTGAACGCGTAAAGATAGACTCTGTCCCTTAACTGCCTGAAATAGCATTCTGTTTATAAGTTGCTCATTTAAAAATGCATTCTGCACCCTGTGCTATGTTATGCCTATTCAGTCTGGACTTATTCTTGCAAAACCAACAGAAAACTGTAAACTACCCAGAAAAGTGTAGTGAGGGAAATTACAGATTCCCCTGATAAGAATTAAAGGATCTCCTTTTGAAGATCTATACCACACAGGAAATAAATATAAATAAATACGAAGAGTTGACATAGTATAAGCAACTCCCAGTTCAGGTCTGTTCGACGTCGCTGACGAATTTGAAGCTTCATCTAATTGGTCAATACATTTTCCAGTCTACATTCCCAGCTCAACAGCATAAAATAATGCTTCACGCGAAATATGTCTCTCCCAAAAGTATAGTGTGAACCTTTCTCTTCATTAGCTACGCCACTGCACTCTAGTCAGAGGCGTAGCTAGGGTTTTCAGCTCCGAGGACAGCTGAATATTTCGCATCCCGTCCTGTTTGCCAAAAATTGCAAATATTTCTTTCTAAAACTTAGTAAACTTATATGGCACTTCCAAGATGCTGCGCGTGAGGATACATGTCCCCGTTTGCACCCTCTTAGCAGCGCCATTAGCTCTAGAAGCTGGAAAATTCTTTGTTCAAATTGTTCAGACGACGCAGTTGATTTTCCTTGTTTTCTGATCCTCAGAAGTCTCTGTGTAATATTTTACTAATTTTAGGTAAAAGGAAACTTAATTTAAAATGTCACCACCGCATTTGACAAGGTTCTAAATGCTGCCATCCCATGAAAGGAATACTCTTCCTAAGTTAAACTAACAGCTCTGAAAATGCAGTAAAATATTTTTAAAATGCACGAGATACATGAAGACTTCGATCAAAAGAACTGCAAATGGTTTCTCATCACACATTGCCTAATAAAACCGTAACGTAATAATTTTTTCATTGGTCCACTGAATAATAACGATTTAATGCAATCACCAAAAAAATAAAATGATCAAATGAATAAATATATGTATTTTATTTACTAGCAATGAGACTTTTTTTATTCCTGTATGGCAACAGTGAAAAACCGCATGGTGAGCATCGGTGGGTTTGTTTACTGTTATATGAATTGTTCACACATTTTTACTATTGTGTTCTATTTCGCTGCGATATACTAATTAGGTATTTTTAGTGCATTTTCGTAAGTGCTCATAATTTGTTATAAACTTTTTATTGCTGTGATTAAAATGACATTTATAGTTGATGTTTAAAATCGAATAAAATTTGTTTAATATCTGTTAATTCATATTATTTTTCTTTTTCCTGTTTTTGCACTTATTTATCAGTTTGTATATTTACCTTAAACCAGTGTTGTAAGAATTTAACAAGAATATGTTTGGGAAAGTTATGCGATTGTCTTGATTAAATAAATTACATTCACACCAGTATAATTATATTAAATTTAAATCATCAGAGCAGTTTGTTTTCTTTATTTTATTATAGAAATGCAATTATTACGTACTTAATTAATGTTATGAGTTACTTTTTTGAAGCATTTAAAATTCTTATTTAGAAAATTAAAAAAATCAAAAATTCAAATGTTTGAAATATATTAACTTTAGCTGGTATTTATTGTAATTATGAATTAGCTTAAATATCATTTGTTCTTAAAAATTAAAATGAGCTTAGTAAAATTTAAGTATTTAAATTAATTTGGGAATGGTATTCAAGAAATTAAAGCATACTTGTGGTTATGCTGTGCTCTTTGTAAATTGTAAACAAAGGGCACTGATATAGATGTGCAACTTACAGTATGCTGTTTCAAAACTAAATGTTTAGGGAACTCCCAGTTAACCAGTTCTTCTCTGAAAACTTAAATTAATTTATTGTGGAAAGACAGAAAAATTTCCACCACAAACTATCAAAATAAAGCAAAGTTTCTATGGAAAATGCGGAAAGGAAAAGAAAATTTGTGGTAAAGTATATTTTAGGGTACCCCTTGGCGATTTTTGGTGGTACATGGATACCGAGTTTGTGCAATTCTTATTATTTTGGTATGCATAACGCTGATTTTTGTCAAAAATCGCAGCTACACAAAGCCAAAATAACAGGACAAAGAATTGCACAAACTCAGTATCCATGTACACATCGACCTATTTTCACTTAAAAAAAAATCCCCAAATTGCACAAAAATGGCATTGCACACTCCCTTAACTTTATCAATGTACACATCAACCTATTTTCACTTACAAAAAAAAAAGTCCAAAAATTGCACAAACTTGCATTGCGCACTCCCTTCTCTTTGTCCATGTACACATTGATATATTTTCACTTAAAAAGTCAAAGGAGCGCCCAATACTACAATACAGACAAACAAAAAGTACATAATCTCAGTAAACTACATTTTATACTAAACAATAAAATAACATAAAAACAGAAAGACATGTTATACATTTAAGCACTACAAAAAGGAAATATCCACTTACTGTATTTAGAAGTTCCTTCGTCTTTAGTCTTTGGCACACAAAATTTCTTAACAGTATCCAAAAACTTCCTAAAATTATCTGAACTCGAATCCGTATATCGGCGTCACCACATCTGAACCTTTCTTCCTACAAACCCATTCAAATTCATCTAAACGGTTTTTACGTTCGACTAGACCCATATCCTTCCTACATACAGGACACTTATAATGGCTACTAAGTAAACCTTCATTTACACACCAGTCAATTAACGCTCTTTTCCCCTTTCGTTCCAAATCGTACAGAAACTTCAAATTAATCTTACTACATTCAGCCATTCTACTGCCTAAACAATAAAGCCAACATGCACCACAAACTTACAAAACATCCCATGATTCAAAATTTCACAGAATCATGCACCCGATTACATCACAACATTCCATAACATTCAACTACTCAGGCTACCATAAATGAAACAACGACTTGACGATAAATGAAACAACTTTGCCATAATACAAGGGGTATCTTAAAGTCTACTCTAACCAAATCTGTGTTATAAAAGTGATGATAGGAGATGATCTAATACTTTTTAGAAATTATTTTATGAGATTACAAAATGAAATTTAATTATACCTACATTCCTATATAGAAATTTTGTTTAAATCATCTGTTAAATTGTAAACATGAATTAAGTGTACAACTATTAATATATTTCTCATTGACTCCTATTAAAACACAACAGTAAAAAATGCGGTTGATCTTTACATTACGGTAACTTGGCGATTTTTTGGCGAAAATTTGGCGACCAACTCCCCTACAGCAACCCTCTATTTTTTTTTCCTCGCCGCCATTTTGTCTTCACGAAGTAAAGACATGTTTCTTTTTCTTCTTATCTACTGAACACTTCTTCCAACAATCTACTAGCCGAATTACACTTATGCTAGAAATTTTATAAAACAAAACTGCTTAATCATGACAAATATTCACTGCAAAATTCGGAAAAAGTGCACAATACCATACACCTTACCGTTTTTTCAAAATAACACATACACATAAACCATGTACACACACGCCGACTTATTTTTTACTTAAAAAAACATCCCAGAATTGCACAAAAATGGCATTGCGCACACTCTTCACTATACTATATCCATGTACACTGCTTTTATCTCATAAACTAAAAAAAATTTCACGAAAATACATGACAATTTTCTCAATCTTTAAACCCGGTAAAAGAACATATATGAAATTACATGATCGCGAAAAAGTATTTACCCTTTACAATATGAAACATTTCCACATATAAAATAAATAAAATATCCAAAAACTTTTACCTCTAAATCATCTATATTACATTATACACGTCACCAACGAATTCATACGTGAAGCCATTACAATATTTATTATCAAATATTTAAATTATTTCCATGCACGTTTATTTTCAACTTAACGTAAACCAAATTCCTACAAGCATAAAATTCACAAAATAACTATCATTTCATTAAAATATCACTGAACCATGTACACGTCGACTTATTTTTACTTAAAAAAACATCCCAGAATTGCACAAAAATGGCATTGCGCACACTCTTCACTATATCCATGTACAACTGCTTTTATCTCATAAACTAAAAAAATTTCACATCACGAAAATACATGACAATTTTCTCAATCTTTAAACCCGGTAAAAAGAACATATATGAAATTACATGATCGCGAAAAAGTATTTACCCTTTACAAATATGAACATTTCCACATATAAAATAAATAAAATATCCAAAAACTTTTACCTCTAAATCATCTATTACATTATACACGTCACCAACGAATTCATACGTGAAGCCATTACAATATTTATTATCAATATTTAAATTATTTCCATGCACATTTATTTCAACTTAAACATACAACCCAAATTCCTACAAGTATAAAATTCACAAAATAACTATCATTTCATTAAAATATAATTAAATTCAAAAACACCACTTAAAATATACATGAGCACATACATTCAATTAATAAAAATTACCTTACAATCCTAATTACTTTAAACTAAATCATTGCTAATAACAATTTTCCTCAATAATCCCAAATTCCTTTCCACCTTACATTTCCAACAATGCATAAAATAATTAAAAATACTACTTACCTAATCTCCTTCAGAATCTTCATTACGTGGCAGATACACTTTTCTTCATTCTCTTTCAGAATCTTTAAAATCATACTTATCTTTCAAAGCAAGATACCAGGTAAAATAAATAACATAATAAAACATGTTTATTTCTCTCTCACACAACCTTAAAAAACATTTCTTACTATCCTTTTCAATACCACTAAATACCCATTTTCGAATTCACTTTACTTACGGCCATGGGATCCAAAAAATTCACAAAACACTATTTCACACAACACAGAATAAAAGCCAAATACAAAATTTCCAGATTTTTTCCCGATTTCCCCCCCTTTTCCGCTTAAAGAACCGTAATTCGTCCATTAATATCACATGACATATCCCATGATCTCTCATTTCCTCATGCAAAATAATGCGTAATCGGAACTGAGTACTGCTCACATTATTACCAAAGTCCCAGGTAGTAACCTTTATCGCCTCCAAAATGTCGCCAAACTACCAGTTACCGTAATGTAAAGATCAACCAAAAATGCAAAAAAAACATTGGTACTTTCTGATCATCCGTACCCCTACCTAAAATTTGCAAAATGTTCGTTTGGTATCTTTATGTCTGATATTAATGACGGATCCTACATTCTTCTTTATCCATACAAGACATGTGAACTTCTCTGTTTTTTGTATTGTAATTCCTCCCATGTATACAGAAAAAACATTTAAGAAATTATGCAAGCTTGGCATGTGTACAATCTCAACATCAAAATCTTGAAAAGGAAAGGGAAAAAAAGAGATGCATTATGCTCCTAGTAATTTTATACTAAAGCTTCAAGATTTCAGCAGAGAAGATGTAAACTGCAGTTTATGGCCCATCACTATGCTAAACCAGCTAGTCCAGGCATAGTTTTTTAATTACGGAATTCTGTGTTCAACTTCATATTTGATTTTGTAATTTGCTTATTTATCGGGGAACCAAATAAGTTTCTGCCCTTTTTGTATTAGAAATTGGACATTTATTGTGAAAGAACAGTATTTTTTGTTTTATTCAATGTATTGTCCATTGCTAGCCACTACTTTTTCCCATCTTTCTGGCAGCATACGAATACCATGTTGAAAGAACACTTCTTTTGAGGCTATCCACAAATCAACCCAATTTTTGGTATCTTCATATGATGTGAAGCGCTACTTAGACAGGCCATGCATCATCAATTGGAACAAGTAATAATTAGAAGCAGCAATATCTGGTGAATACAGTGGAATGGACAAACTTCTCAGTTGAGTGTTTCCAAGTAAGTTTCGTCCAGCGCCACTACATGTGGATGAGCATTATCATGCAGGAGAATAATTTTGTCATATCTGGAGTAGTAGTGGGCACATTTTTCTTCACGTTCTCAGCTCAGTCTCACCAGTTGTATTCGATAGAGAGCCTTAATAATGGTTTCATTCAGTTTGAGCTACTCATAATGCGTGACATCAAGTTCATCACACTATATACCCAACATGATTTTTTCCATGAATATTTAGTTGAACCTTTTGATGCACGCAATATTATTTTTATAATTTTTTTAACTAAAAACTCTAGAAATTGAATATTATGATCCTAGAGACAAATAA